ACAGTCGCCACTGTTCACGGCCGGCCAGAAAGTAATATCAGTGGCCTGGCCTTCTTCAGAAACGACCTCCCATCTATGGCATTCTACATAGCTGCCACGTGGATGGTCTGCATAGCAAAATGAGCAGAGCAGGCACTGCCCGAGCTGCGTCTAGGCCCATCCTGCATGCACAACGGCCCTCTGGCCCTGGGACATAGGGAGCGTTGTCTTACAGGGTTAGCACGCCCGATGCAAAGATCTGAAATCCAAGCTGCTCCAAAACCCAGGATTTTTTAGGTGCCTACTTGATGCCACGAATGGGCAGTTCCACACCTGACTCAGTCAAAACGTAGGTGCATACAAGTATAAAGTTACCTTTGGTCCATGTGTATAAGGTATATATGAAACATAAGTGAATTTAGTGTTTAGACTTGGGTCCCATCCCTGGGATATCTCAACATGTATATGTAAATATTCCAAAATCAGAAGCCCTGCTGGCTCCAAGCATTTCACATAAGGGATCCTCAAACCTGCATCTCCATTTTACAAATAAGAAAGCAGAGGCTCCAAGTTCTTAAAGACCTGACCTCAGTTAATACAGTGGCACACCCAGGATTTAAATTCAGATTTCTCTTATGTCAGAGGTTAAGCCACTTCCACTGCGCTGGTGGTTCCCGGTCTTTCTGCGTGCAGGGCCCCTTCCCAATGGCAAGCGTTCTCAGACTACACGAGCAAGTAGTCGTACTACAGCTGACTGACTGATGGAGAAAATGTGGCTGGTGGAGCACTAACTGATGCAAAGCCCTGGGTTCCATCCCCAGCGCTGCAGGAGGGAGAGAGGGAGGAAAGGAAGAGGAGAGGGGGGAGGAGAGAGGAGGGAAGCAAAAAGATGTAACAGACATAAGTTACTCTGAATCCAGGGATTCTGTGACACCTAACAGCATATGCACACAGTCTCATGATATGCCATTATGAGACCTTAGAGGCATTTAACTGGCTGTCAGGTTGGTGTCCAGATGGCTTCTCGGGCCCTAGTGTCACTCTGGGTCACACACCAGCCAAGAGGCCAGGGGACCCTGAGCCTCCTCTTGGCGTGGGCTGGGCCTGCGTGGTGGAAGCCGCACTCTGCAGTGAGTGTCAGGTGCTCCCTGGGTGCTGCCCTGAGCCTCTGATTCTCAGTCTGAGGCTGGAGAGGAGGCTGGGACGGTGTTGGCTTTCAGGGCCATTCATTTCCTCGCCCTCTGAAGACTGCTGTATTTCAGAGGAGGGTCACTGCCCCCAGAACAGAGCTCTAGAAATGAGCAGCTGTGGGGCTGGGGATTTAGCTCAGTGGCACAGTGCCTGCCTGGCAAGTGCAAGGTCGTGAGTTCGATCCCCAGTACCAGAAAAAAAAAAAATGAGCAGCTGAAGCTCCGAGGATGGCGGTTAAATTCTTCACTTGCTTTTACCGGGGTTCAGAGACCACCCCCAGCCATAGCTGCCAGGAAGAACTTGTGCCAGGGGGTGAGAACAGCAGGAAAAGACCCCCACACACAGCTTGCATTTATTCTCAGCATGAAGGTTTCATACTATGGAGTCTTTCATTTCTTTCTTTCATTTCTTCATTCAATTCCACAAATGCTAATTGAGCATTTTCTTTCATTCATTCCACAAATGCTAATTGAGCACTAATCTCCATGCCGTGCACTGGGGATTCAGTGGTAAGCCCAAAGACGGTAATCTCAGCCCTGCGGAGCTTAACATTCACCTGTAAGACTTTCAAACAAGCAGCCATCAGATAGTGACCCGTGCAATAGAGAAAAGTAAAGCAGAGAAGGGGCTGGGGCACTCAGTAAGGGTGGGAAGTTGCCTTGAGCTGTCCTTGGGGGAGGGGCAGGGAAGCATGTGAATCGCAGGGCAGAGGTCTGGCATGCTCTGGGGCACCAAAGCCAGTGCAACCAGAGCAGAGTGAATGAGGGAAAGAGCTACAAAGTCATGCAGGGCTTCTGAGGCCATCGTAATGGCCTTAACTTCAACTCCATGAGAGGATTCAAGCACAGAGGTGACACGCTCCCTCTCCTCTATGGTGTAACTTACCACAAGATCTGCCCATTCTAAGTGCATAATTCAGTGATTTTTAGTAAATATACTGAGTTGTGTAACCATCACCACAACCCAATTTTAGTATCTTTCCATCACTCCAGGTCCATGGCTTGCATTGTAAATGGATTGCTCTGGATCCTGTGTCAAAGAATAAAATGAAGAGGTAAATGCATGGTGTTTCACATCTATAATCCCAGCACACTGGGAGGCTGAGGCAGGAAGATCAAACGTTGGAGCCCAGTCTGAGCACTTTAGTGAGATCCTGTCTCAAAATAGAAAATAAAAAAGGGCTCCAAAGGCCCTGAGCTTGATCTTCAGTGCTGGAGGAAAGAGGAGATAAGAGAGGGAGGAAAGAAGGCAGAGAGAGAGAGAAAGAGAGGGAGAGAGAGAGGAAAGTATTGGAAAGAAATGTGTTTCACTGAACATATGAAAGACAGGAACTTCAGAGGATGGAGGGGTAAAGGCAGGACTGATAAGCCTTTCTTTTTTTAACTCCCAGAGGTTTGACGCCTCCTTAATGCTAAAGTTATAACAGGATGAAAGCCTGCCAGCTCCAACGGTAAAAGCAGATGTTAATAAATCCAGAGAACTGTTTAAAAGATGGGAAATTCAGGCACAAAGGCTGCACGTGTCTCTGACTCCCAAACTTGAAGATGATCGTCACCACCCTCTTCTACATGAAAATCTGAATATTCATAAAGCCGTGGGCCAAGGTTAATAGCTTAAAAATTCACAAGAGGCAAAGCTGATGGCAGCGGGGTGAAAGCCAAATGTGTTTTAGCAAATGCTGCATCCCTATAGCAGAAATGCGGCCAGCTCTTCTATTAGTCAAGGGCATGATCCAGAAATCATCGGTCCCCTGGCAGGGGCCTGCCAGGCACGACCAGAGGGAGAGTTTTCGGTACATTGTCTAGGAGGCTGAAATCCTTGATATTATAAGGTTCAGGTCCAAGCAGTGGACTCAGATTTATTTTTTCCTTCCCAGCAGCTACTGTAGCAGTCAGTGTCGTCTCTTCCCAAGGCAGGTTTCCTTCCTCATCCTCCACTCCTGGACGTGTGGGAGCCGGGGCTCTGAGCCCCTGGCACAGTGCTCTCTGGGGTGGGTCTAAGGCGGTTCCTGCTGACTTCTCTTAGCCAACACCTGTACGTGGCCGAGAGTCTGCCCCGTGGTCTTTCTCCGAGTTCACAACCGTGCAGCCAGCAAACCCCCCTCACCCAGTAGCTAAGCTGGCAGCGTTCTGAGGATGAACGGGAAGGCAGCTGCCCGCCAGCCTCAGAGAAGGGAAAATGCATTTCCAGCTCACCACCTGCCCTGGCTTCGTTTGCCTGCTTGCTGGACTGCGAAGCTCAGTTCAGGGTCACTGGTTTTTTTGGAGGTGGGAGGAGGTGGTTCCAGTCTTTTTGTGTCTCTCTGGGCAGTTGCTCAAGAATTTGCCTGTTACCACCGCTGACCACAAGGAGGCCCAGCCCTCCCACTGCGGCACCAGGGCTGAACCGCAGCTCTCTAGTGAGCCAGATTCCACAGGGCAGAGAGGGCTCCTGACCCCAGAGAGAGCTGCTGGCCCGGTGGTTCCCCAGGATCCACCCCGTTTGCGATCAGTGAGCAGCCATGACCCACGTGTGATCGCTGTGCTTCTGGTTACTGCAACAGCAGAGAGATTGGCCCCAGGGACCCGGCAGCTCTCCGTGTAGCCTGGCGTGGCCTTAGCTTGATCGTCGCTGGCTGCGTGGCCTGGGGCAAGCCCCATTCCCTCTCCGAGTCTGATTCCTCATCTGCCAAGAGAAGTGGCTGCCACTGCAGCCATCTTGATCTCTCAGGGCCCTGTCGATCTTGCCAGCAACATAACCACCCGAAACCCCTCCCAGGGAGGGGGCTCTGAGCCCAGACTGCCATCAGACTGGAGGATTAAGCTGTCTACCAGAGCATCATCTCCCTGGGAGCAAAAGGAGTGAGGTCAGTTCTGTGCCATCAACACTTCTAACCTCACAGCCAGGCAGCCCTCAGAGAGCTTGGCTCTTCTGGGGCTCCCAAACTCATGCACCTGGAACCTTTCATTCAAAAAGTCTGGCCTGGAAGCCCAGGAGATAGCAGCACTCTGGTCAGAAAGTGGGGCCCAGAGAGAGGAAGCCACCGCATGTCACTGCAAAGGAGCAGGCAGAGCCAGGCGAAACTGTCACCACGACGCATTCTCCAGGGACCAGCTGCGTGTGCCACTCCTCCGGATGTGCAGGACCTAGGATTCCAAAGGAAGCACAGGGCAGGGCAGGGGCTTGCTGACTTCCACTGTGTGTTCCCTACGCCGGCTTCTTCCCTGCACTGTGACCTAATCCTCATAGACCCCCAGGCCCAGGATCTTTATCACTGTCCTCTTTTAGGCACGGAGAAGTTAAGTGATTTGGCTCAAGTGACAGGGCTCAGAAGTGGCAAAGCTGGGAGTTTAACCCAGTGCCAGAGTCCATTCACTGGGTGGACAGCAGTGGAGCTGCTTGACATTCGCTCATCCCTCTGGCTCCTTCTTGGTGTCTCTGGAGGAGGACAGCCCGTCCACATGCACAGCGGGTGTGAGCTTCAGGGATGGGGAGAGGAGACCTCTCAAGACCTGTGGTCTTGCAGGTTTCTCTTAACCCTGCACTGGTGGCCATGATGCTCTGCCAGAACAGATCAGACACAAGAGGGCTTGACCCAGGGCCCAGATGCAGTAAGCAAAAGCTCCATTACTGAGCATGCATGTGTGAGTTTGCATGTGTGTGTGCACTTGCACAGGTGTGTCCATGTACACAGGCGTGTGTGTGCGTGTGCGCGTGTGTGTGTGTGTGTGAGTGAGTGAAGCGTGTGTGTGTGAGTGAGTGAATTCCTCTTCCTCACTGCTGATGGAGCATCCCTCCTAGCACCCATGGCAGCCAGGGACACTGATGGCCTTTTCGGGGTCTCTCTCCAGGTTGTCAAGGGATCATCGAGGACGTGGTGCTGCTGGGTGCGCCAGTAGAAGGAGACCCCAAGCACTGGGAGCCGTTCCGGAAGGTGGTGTCTGGGAGGATCGTCAATGGCTACTCCAGGTCTGTCCTCGCGTGTGCCAGTGGGCCACCACCCAGTGTGCCGGGCCCTGTGTTGGCAGTGAGTGTCTGAGGCCTATCCTGGAAGACCCCAGGAGCCGGCAGGCACTGGTGTGTCAGGAGCAGGGCAGGACTGCGTGTTCTGATGTGGGAAGCGCCCACCCCCACAGGATGGCGGACAACAGGGGGAGCACCCTAAAGAGGATGTCCCTGTGTCAGGCCTGAGGCCTCTTGCAGGTTGAGAGGACAGGCTGGGGTGGCTCAGCGCGATTGGGGCTGGGGGAAGAGGGGACACGAGGCATGCGTACGGTGCCCCAAACTCGAGGTCTGAGGGTGACACTGACAGCTCTGGGGTTCGCTGCTGACAGTGGAGGAGGGGTGGCCAAGCTGTCAGAGCACTGGGCCAGGGCAGCAGGACAGGTGGCTGCCACAAGGGGCAGCCAGTAGCCAGCCGGTGGGACAAGAGGGGGAGAAAGAGGGGGAGGCCTGCCAGCCACAGGGCTGGAAAGGAAGCAGCCCTCCTTTGGGGTCTGAGAAGGATGACTTGAGGGGACCCCCAGACTGTCACAGTGCGATGTTCCCCCGGATGGTGGGAGCAGAGGGAAGATGACACCCACCCCAGAGCTCCCAGGGGATTGGCCTGAGAGATGTGCTTTCTGCACGGCCTCTGGGTGAAGCCAAGAGCAGGTGACAGTTTAAAAGCGCATGACTCCAAGCCACACATGCCTGGGTTCTGTGGCTGCCCTCAGTGGCTTCTTTAGTAAAAGAGAGATAACAGTGACAAGTCCCCTGAGGGTGACAGCAGCGGCTGAACAGTTCTCAAAGGGGCGCATAGTAGGTCCATAAATGACAGGCCGTGTTAGTGTCTATGATTATTTATTTTATCATCATCATCCAGCACTGGGAATAATCATCCAGCGAACTCCTAGTGAGCACCAGCCTCATGCCAGACGCCATGGTGGGGACAGAGCAGGGAAGGAGACCCCACCCCGTCTTATGAAACCTGGCATCCAGCGGGAATGACAGGCGGGGACTCAGGCTACCCCAGACGGGCACACAGAAGCTTGTCGGTGACACCAAAACCCAAGAGGCTCTGGAAACGGCAACCTGTTTTTCTAAGTATAATGCAGACTCATTCAGTGACAGACATACCCAGAACAGATGAAACCATGGGCTCATGGGCTGGGTGCCCAGAGGCCACCCCAAACCTTGCAAGAATATTCTGTGATACCCAGGCCCCAGACCGGCTGACTTTGGTGAAATCCAAAACATGAATTCGGAAATACAATAGGTTCCCCAAGGAGCCCACATTTTGGGGTCATTGCCACAAAAGCACAGGATGCTGACCAGTCATTCTGAGAACGTGACGCTAAAGGATAATTTGGCTTTCAAGAAACAGTGGGGGTTGGGTGATTAGTGGCAGATTAGTGGCAGCAAAGCTTTTATGGGAAGTGACTGGCTCCATCGACACAACTTCAAAAATTACAATTAAAAAAACAATCAGGAAGCACTGAGCAAGGCTACGGAGCTGGCCTTGTCACCTTTTGGTGACAGCTGAAGCAGAGGGACAGACAGGGGAGGTCATTCGGCAGGCAAAGCACTAGGTCCCTGGTCCCGAGGAATTGATTTCAGGGTGGGAGAAGGAAGCTGCAGCCTGGGGTGAAGAGCACCTCAAAAGCGTTCAACAGGCCAGGCTCTCGGGTGCTCACCTGTAGTCCAAGCTACAGAAGCAGGAGAATGACCAATGCCAGGTCAATTTAGCAAGACCCTGTCTCAAAACAGAAAGTAGAAAAGTCTGGCGGTATAGCTTAGTGGTAGAGAGGCCCGGGTTCCACCCCCAGCACTGAAGGAAAAAGGAAAGAGAGCATCCAAAGAGCCAGATACCGTGGTGCACACCTGTAATCCCAGCACTTGGGAGGCTGAGGCAGGAGGATTATTTGTTTGAGGCCAGGAGTTCAAGACCAGCCTGACCAACAAAGCACTTTACAACATAGCTCAAAAAAAAAAAAATCCCACAACTATGCCCAAGGCCTTATGCCAGGCATGAGAATGCAAAGGCAAACAAGAGGAGAGGAGTTCACAGCCCCTGGAAAGGACACATATGGAAACACAGGTTTTTTTGTTTTTGTTTTTTTTTAAAGAATAAAAGAAGGATAACATAATAATAGGGGGCACTTAGCAAATTACAGACAAAATGGTAGGAAATTATCAATGGTTATCGTTTTACATATTATTGTCTACAAAATAGTTTCTCAGGAAAACAAATAGACAAATAATAGTGAGTTACAGACAAAAGAGGTAGGATATTATCAAGAGTTGTTGTACTATACTTTGGTATCTTCAAAGTGGCTTCTAAAGAAAATAAATGAAGCTATACATGAGTGACCTATTGAAAAATCATTAACTATTCTCAGTGGTTGTTGTAGGAAACACATAATAATAAACATACATCCATTTATGAAATAGGATAGGAACATTACAAACTTTACACAGTTATGGATAGATTAGTAGGAAAATATCAATGGCTGCTGTAATACGTGGTGGTATCTTCAGAGTGGTTTCTCAGGAAGACAGAGATATGCAAGAGGGACCTATTAAGTAGTTACAGCCTAAGGGTTGTCAAAAATAGCATATTACCTCCTCACCAGTGACTCCTTTCACTGAGGTATGATGGCTGGAAGGAAGGCCAGGATTGAAAAGAAGGACCGAGAGACTTGCACCTGTGTCTAGCAACAGGCTGTTTTCTTGTTCCTCCATAGTCATGATTACCCAGGGCTCCTCGATGGAGATGACGGTCCGGCCAGAGGGAGAAGGCAGACCATGTCCCAAGCCCTCTCATTCCTGTTGGAGTAACTGGTAGCATGGGTCTGAGCTCTGGGGCCTCCACCTCAGAGGGCAGACCGATCTCCAGTGGTCACCTTTGCATTCAGGGCATGGCCCATGGGGCCTCTTAGGGCAGTTCCTCTTGAGGTGGCCTGGCTTTTAACAGTGGTAGCAGATGAATGCAGTTGTCGAGTTCTTCTTGGAGCCCCGGGAATCAGACCTGGGATCTGTTTCTCTTAGTGGTGCAGCAAAAGCAGCTGCTTTTTCTCAGTCTCTTTGTTTTCTCTCCTTGGTCTCCTCATCATCATGGCTATAGAATACTGAGGAGGCAATTCTTACTAACATCTCAAGTGAGCTATCTGGGGCGAAAGCCATTCTTTGTAGCTTTTTCTCTCCAGCTTCCCATTGCTTTGGGACCCCACAACCAGTTAGTGTCCTCTCCCCAACTGTCAGCACAGGCAGCAGGAATCCTGCTGCAGACTTCTCCAGAGCTCCACCACAGCCTGTACTGTCAGGGGAAGAATGGCTTCCAATGAGTCTCTGCAAGTATTGTGCAAGGTCCTCCTGGTTTACAGCTTCCAAGCGGCTCTGGGGACCCCAGTCCACAGGACCTCTGACTCCGTGGGCTTGGTCTGCATTCTCATGTTCTCTGAGTCCTTGTTCAGCAGCTGCTCCTCTGCTGACTCTGTACCTTTCTGGTTCCCAATGGCAGGAGCAAGAGTGGCCCGTTGTATGGCATGCATTCCCAGGGGTTGTTCAAAGTTTCAATGATTCACACACATCCGTGGGTGGGCAACTGCTGTCGGTGCATTGCGGGCCAATTGTGTCACTGTTTCTCTGTGTCATGATAGATCTCAATTGAGCGGCGGCGGCGGCCCGGCCTAAGGGCCGGCGCGCAATAGCGCTCGCCGCTGCATGGCCCACCCTCCGGGAGCCGGTAGGCAGGAGGAAACACAGGTTAAAAAAAAAAAAAAAAAAAAAACTAAAAATGTCATAAGGCAATATTCAGGTGAGGGGAATTAGAGTCTACCACCTGCCAGGCCTTGTCTTTGTTGTAATTATCTCCTTCCATCTTCCCAAAACCTTGTGGTGTTAGTGTTATTAACCCCATTTCACAGACGATGAAACTGAGGCGACATCACCGGCCCAAGCTCAAGCCAGGAGGAACATATTTCTTTCAGGCCATTCTGATTACTTTGGAAGAGACCATCGGGCCTCTGAGAGTTCCCCTCCCTTCCCGGACAGGACTTCCATAGGACCTTCGAGGGGTATAGGTCAGTGGTGGCCTGGGTTCAATCCCCTGTACCAAAAAAAATCACAAAGATCAAACTGCTTTGCTTCCTCAGGCCCTAAGGGAGCGCATCTTATGTGTAGGCCCTGGGGACTGCTTTAGTTATCCTCAAACTAGGCGTCATTGCCACAAAAGCACAGGATGCTGACCAGTCATTCAGAGAAGGTGATGCTAAAGGATAATTTGGCTTTCAAGAAACAGTGGGGGTTGGGTGATCACCCAACTTGCAGCTTTAGTCTCTTTTATCTCCCTCTATTCTCCCTGACATTGAACAAAACAGACCGAAGTCCCCACCCTTGTGGAGTTTACATTCAGATTTTAGTCATCAATAATTTACAATGCAACTGTCACACCACCGTCTGTGAGTGGATTCCTACACTTTGAATCATGCATTGTAAAATTTTCATCCCAAGAGGTATTTTTTTTGTCTTCCTCCCTTGTTAGTAACTAGTGTTTGCTCAGATGAGGCCGGTTAACTCTGATTTAATCTCAGCCATCCAAAGCTAACTAGAATTGATTTGCAAAGCTTTTATGATTTGGATGATTTGACCCATGCCGATAGTCTAGTATCGGCCAGGCGTGGTGGCGCATGCCTGTAGTCCCAGCACTCGGGAGGCACAGGCAGGAGGATCACTATGAGCTCGAGGCCAGCCTGGGCTACACAGTGAGATCCTGTTTCAAAAAACAAAACAAAAAATCTAGTATCCCAGTAGCTCAAAGCTAGAGATGATTTATAGTCCTGCATGAAGGACATTAACCAGAACATAGGAGTGTGGCCAATCAGTTTGTTGTCACATCACTCATATTCTAAACTGAGTCTTAGAATCAGGATATGGTCAAAAGAACAAACAAAAGACATAGAGCCACAATACATAAATAGCTTGTGCAAATCAATAAGAAAAAATCTAATAAGAAAATGACCAAAGAATATTGACACACATAGAATAAATACAAAGAGTTGGTAAACTGTTGAAAAGCTACCCAGCCTCTTCTTTAATGACGTATACAAAGGATCATTGCAGCTTTTTTGTTTGTTTGTTTTTTCTTTTTGAGACAAGGTCTCACTGTGTAGCCCAGGCTGGCCTCAAACTCATGGTGATCCTTCTGCCTCAGCCTCCTGAGTGCTGGGATTTTAGGTGTGTGCCACCACACCCAGCTTGCAGCTTTATTTATAATTAGAATGTTTAAACAACCTAGATGGCCATAAACAGGTACAGTTAAGGGTCTGTCTTAGTTACTTTTCTCATTGCTGAGACAAAATATCCAACACCCAAAGTTAGAAGAGGAAAAGTTCATTTGGCTCACAGTTTGTAGAGGTTCAGTCCATAGTCGGCTGGCTCCAAGGCAGAGAGGCATCACAGAGGAGAAACAGTCCACGGCAAACAGGCAGGCAGCAAGCTACAAGCAACAACCAACGACCCTCTTTCTGTCCCTTATATTTTATCCAGGCTACACATCCTTAAGACAGGTAACACTCACACCCAGGGTGGGGAACCCTTAATCCTACCCAGAACTATGCCAAACCAACCAGTGCACTGATTTAGCAATCACACACTCTGGATCTCAGCATCACACACTCCAGATTTAACCACCTTGCTCCACCTAGGACTGCGTGAGGCTTTAGGGGGACATCTAGACACAAGCCATAACAGGGAGAGAAGGCAAGTACAGTAGTTTATACTGTGGTCCCATTTGGGTTTAGGAGGGAAAACATCTCTGCATGTGCACATGTGTGCCTGTGGGTGTCCACACACGCACAGTCAGGCTCTGGAGAACCACTAGAACAGTAACAGGGACTCCCTAGGGAGTGGACAGAGATGAAGCAGGCTGTAATGGAGGCTTTGATTTTTTTTAAGTAAGCATAGGTTTAAAAAGAATAGACCAGATGTAGTGGCACACACCTGTAACATGAGCAGGTGGGAGGCTGAGGCAGGAGGATTGCCCCAAGTTCAAGGCCAACCTGGGCTACATAGTGAGTTCAAGGCCACCCTAAACTACATGGTGAGACCCTGTCTCAAAAAATTAAAAATAGAAGAAAGAGGTAAAGAAAGAGGAAGAAGAGAAGGGGGAAAGGGAGGGGAAGGAGCGGGGAGGAGAAGGAGAAGGAGGAGAAAAATCAAAAGAATGGACAAAGACTTTGATGCCCAGGGAAGATGATGAAGGGGAAGGGCTGCCACTCAGTAGGTGCCCAGTAAGTGACAGACAGCAGCTGTAATATTTATTGCGGGGCACAGTCATGCACCACGTGATTTTTTTCGTACTTTTTGTAAACAAGCAGGGGGGGAAGCATTAAAACTGCATGTGTGCCATACGAAAGCAGCGGAATCTTATTAAACCCATCTGTTCTGTTGGGAGCCTGAGGCTAATAAGCTTGGTTTTCAATTATTTTATGAAACCCTAGGCGGTATAATTAAGCACCAGCCCAGAGCTCTGATTCTTGGTCCCAAAGGTCTTTTAGTTGCTGTGAACTTCAACTTGGGGCAGGAGGGAAAGGGGCTCAGGTCAGCACGACCAAGTCTGCACCGACTGGTTTTTTGTTGTTGTTGTTGTTTTGGTTTTTTGGTACCAGGGATCGAACTCAGGATCTTGTGGTTGCCAGGCAGGCGCTTATGCCGCTGAGCTATATCCCCGGCCCTGAGGTGCTGATAAATGTGCGATTTCAGCACTCTTCGCAGACCCAGTCACTGTCTCCGGCCTCTCATGGGCCCCGGGTTGAGGGGTACTGCACCCTGTCCCCCCCCTCCCCATGGGAAGCTGGGAGAGGGGACAGAGATTTGCCCAGGACCAAAGGCAAGGCCAGGCTCAGACCAGGAGATAGCGGTGACCAGAGGGCAGTCCTGGCCTGCCCTAAAAGGAAAGACAAACAATCCAGGGAGCTGCACAGAGGAGGACTTGGGGTGAACATCACAAAAGGAACAGGTCCAGCCACCACACCAGGGCTGAAGGAATGACAGTACAGGTGCAGAGGCTGGGGCGCTCGCTGAGCGGGTGATATCCAAGCTGAGTCAGAAGGATGTATGTGAGACCCCATCAGAGACGGGACGCGTTGGCCAAGCCATCGAGGGCCCTGCCTGGGAGCTAACAGTCATGCCTGAGACTTGCTGAGCAGCTGTGTATACATCTCAGCTAACACTCGCACATCTCTGGGGGCTAAGGTACATTGAGGAGACGGAGACTGAGAGAAGTCAAGCAGCTTGCCCAAGGTCACACAGCTCTAACGGACAAGACAGGATTTGAGCCTGGCTTGTGTGGGCCACAGCCAGAAGGAGAAAGGTTTTGAACGCCAGTGAAGGCCCTGCGGTCTGCCCAGCGCAGTAGAGAGGGTGCTGAACCTTTGACATGTATTCTTGCTCTATCCTTCAGTGTATATAAACACATACGGGTAATTAACATATCAAGTACTGATGACAACAGAAATAACAGGGCAGGAAGGTGCCGACTTTGCTTATTTACATACAGATCAGAGACATTTAAAGCCCTGCTTGCATCCAGGATTCGACACGGGTCGTGTGAGGAGGTCAGACATCTGACCCCAGACCGTCTCCCTCCTCCCCGGAGCTGTCTGCTCCTAGAAGCACCACTTGCCTCTTCTCCCTTAAGATCCTCATCGGGACTGCAAGCGTTGTTCCCTGGCGGGTTACAGGGTTATCGTGAAGAGGTGGGGCGCTATGGTCAGTTCTAAGGGCAAGGCTGAGGTCGGATGGGTGTGTTAGGAAGGCCGCAGTGGCTGAGAGGGGGCGGCCCGGAGCAGGGAGAGGGAAAAGGAGGCTGTGGCTTGCCTTCATGGGGCGGGACGGGCCCTACCCCCTCTCAGCACCTCAGCTGGAACAGAAGGGATGGGTAGTGGAGTGTGGGGAGGACTAAGAGTCAACAGGCCTGAGGCAGGCGCGGTGGTGTCTTCTGTTATCCTGGCACACTGCGAGGGAGGCTGAAGCAGGAAGGTCGCAAGTTTGAGCCCACTGTGAGCAACTTAGCATTTAGGGAGATCTGTCTCAAAATAAAAAGTTGACACGGGCTCAGTGTAAAGGCCTTGGGTTCAATCTACACTACCACCAAAAAAAAAAAACCAGGATCGCAGGCAGCCTGAGGTCTCCCAGCCACTTTAACCTGCCCCTCCAACACACAGGGAGGGAAAGGTCTTTTTCCTCGCACGAGATGGGGGTGCGCATGCGCGGACTTGAGGGGCACGGCCCACATGCCCCGCAGGTGACTGCCTACTTCCCTGGGGACAAGGTTCAGGAGGCCAAGGGAGAGGACATCTTATGAGACCCTTGCACGCTGCCCGGCAGAGATGGGTAGCAGGGTCGAGGTTGTGTCCTCTGGAGCGCGGAGGGCTGTGTTAGCTGCGGAGGGGCAGGGTAGTGGTCTCCGTGAGAGTAGACAAGGCCCACAACCTGCCCGGGCAGCCACCCCGGCCTCTGGAGAAGTGGCCATGGGCAGAAGGAACTGCAGGCTGGGCCAGGGCTGTTCTCGGAAGGCAGAGCTGGCCGTCCCGAGCTCCAGCCCTCCCACCCCGGCCCCTGTCCACAGGAAGACCCCGCGGCCTTTCTCTGCCCAGAGAGCCCGGCACCAGCTGCCTCTTCCAGGGGAGCATCTCCGCTGAGCGCATGCTCAGTACCGGAACGCTATCCAGCGCCCTCGCTCGTTCATTTGGTCTCCAGTCAGTGGGCAGAGCTGGGACGTGGCTGGATGGTAAAGCAGACGCATAGCATGCGTGAGGCTCTGGCCTCCATCCTTAGCATGGCCAAAAAAAAAAAAAGCCAGGCATGGTGGTTCACTCATAATCCCAGCACTAGGAGGCTGAGGCAGGAGGATGGAAAATTCAAGCCTAATTTGGATGGTTTAGTGACTTAGCAAGACCTGCCTCAAAATAAAATTAAGAGCTGGGGATGTAGTTCAGTGCACAGGCCCTAGTTCAATCCCCGGTACCACAAAAAAATTTAAAAATTACCTGTTCATTTAACTGGTATTACATGCCAGACAGTGCTCTTGGCCTCGGGGCCCCAGCAAGGACGAAACTCGGCAGCCTCAGTGGAGTTCCCACGGTGCGCGCGCACGCGCCCCTAGCCCCTGGCGTCATAACTGCCCCTCCCCCAGCTGCCTCCAAGTGTCACCACTTCTCCCAGGAACCAAGATCCTAGTTTCTCACGAAGACTGAAGTCTCACCAGGCTCCCCGGGGGACAGGCAGGGCCCAGCCTGACCTTGCTGAGACTGATGTCGCTCTGGTTCCCACCCACAGGGGAGACTGGCTGCTGAGCTTTGTGTACCGCACGTCGTCTGCACAGCTCCGCGTCGCCGGCCTGCAGCCCGTGCTGCTGCAGGACCGCAGGATGGAGAATGTGGACCTGTCCTTGGTGGTGAGCGTCGGCCTGGCCCGCCCCAGGCTCTGCCTTTGCCTGCTGTTGCGGGGGAGGGGGGCACTGTCCCGGAGGCAGGAAGGCGCCCAGGAGAACCATCTCTTCCTCTGGCCACACCCTGTCCCCAGCCCCCTGCACCTCCACTCTGAGCCGCACACACTCTTGTGCCCATTTCACAGCTGAGGAATTAGAAGAGGTCCAGACTCACAACTAGCAATTAACAGGACTGGATTGGAACCTGCAGGCCCACTTTCTGACCCCCACATTCCTGCCCTCCCTGGGTCCTCCACTGCAGTGCAGTCGGGCTTATCTGTTCTCCAAGGGCAACCAAGGGGAGCAGGGACTCAGGGTGGGGCTCAGGCAGAGGCACCTGACTGCCCTGCTTACAGCTTAAGCTGTAGAGCTGAGCCCAACATCAGGGGAGTTGATTTAAAATGGACATCCCTGCCAGGCATGGTGGTACATGCCAGTAATCCCAACACGCTGGGAGGCTGAGGCAGGAGGATTGCAAGTTCAAGCCCAGGCTGGGCAACTTAGTGTGACTCTGCCTCAAAATAAACAAAAGCTGGGGAGGTAGCTCAGTGTATAGGCTCAGGGTTCAGTCCGCAGTACCACAGACAAGTAAATAGAAACCTAGCATAGTGTGGCATCCCTATAATCCCAGTACTGAGGAAGCTGAGGCAGGAGGGTCACCATGAGTTCAAGCTCAGCCTGAACTACCTACTGAGGCCCTGCCTCAAAAAAAATTTTTTTAAAGGAAAAATCAAATGGTACAGCATGAACAATCTCTAGATCACATTTCAGGTGCAAAGGAACCGTGACGCCTTCCACCTGCTGTGGCAGGGAGGGGACCACCTCTGCTGGGCAGCAGTCCATCCCGCCTCAGCCCTCAGCTCTCATGTCCCCATTGTACAGGCAGTGCACTGAGACTTAGGAAACAAGCCAGGGAGCTGCCCAGGTCGCACTGCTAGAATGTGGCTGAGCCGGACTCAAACCCAGCTGTGAAGTCAGCAACTTTTCCCTGGCTCAGGGAAATTGATAAGCAGAGAGAGAGAGCTGCCTGGTGCCGGAGGGAAGGGCCCCGGGGCAGCTGTTCCCGAGGACCGACCTCCGCCCAGGGGAACGGTGGCAGGCGAGGGCTGGGAGGGTCAGGACTTCAGTTCCTGCTTCTCAGGAACTTGGCAGCTGTTGTGTCAGGTGCCGAGGGCTCCCTGGCAGAACCGGGTTCCTGCATCACAGTAGTTTGACCAGCACCCTTCCCCCTGACAGCAGACATGAAGGCCCCTCCCTGGGCACCCAGCGGGTGTCTGCCCCGCAGCAGGGGTGAAAGGACCTGGCTTCTCCCTTGTGCATCAGCAGCTGCTCCTACCACCTCAATTGTGTGTGCAGCTGGGCCCTGCGGGCCACCCGTACCCGTACCCACCCCGTACTGTGACCCCAACTGCCTGCCCGTCCTCAGAAACCTGACTGTACCTCTGTCAGTGACATAGAGGAATTGGGACAAAATACAAAGCCGAAGCTTCGCCTGAGACTGCTGCCCCCGAAGGCCACACCCACACCCCTGCCCGGAACCAGCAGGCCTCTCCGGCCACCTGCTGCCAGGCTGTACCAATTCATCCTCCCCTGCCTCTTTATACCCTCCGGGATCCACTCGCCCAGGCCTCACGCACCCGAGCAGCAGGGCTGAGCGCCCCTGGCCGGGCCTTCCCACCCACGGGGTGCTCTGGGGTTGCCAGACCGCCCACTCTGAGACTTCCCAGCACAGACCAGAGCTGCTGCTCTGCGCTCAGCTCTGTCCCTGTGCACCGGACACAGGAGACGTAAACCCCACATGCACCCCGCACACTCCTGACTTGCAGAGGGGAATGCTGGGAACTTCGAGGATGGGCTCAAGGCCAGTCTGGACTCGAACACAGGCCCGAGTCTGTGTTGTCTGCCTCTCTGTGGGATTGAGGGTCACAAGGCCAAGAAACCACAGATACAGTGATGCCTACCAAATAGCATCGAGGGCCCTGTGTGCTATCTGAGGGTCCCGCCCTGCATGGGGCAGTGGGAGAGGAGCTGTAGGCATTACCAGGAGTCTCCCTCTGCCAAAAGAAACAGCTCAAAAGGAGCAGCCGAAAGTTCCTCCTCGTGCCCCAAAGCCCTCGAATGATGCAGTTTCAGGGCTACAGGGTGCAGCTCAGCAGCAGCATGCTTGCCTAGCACACACAGGCCCTGGGTTCCATCCCCAGTACAAAAAAAAAAATTTTAAAAAAAAATCCTTCTACCCCAGGAAGCTATGGATGGGATAGGGTGGGAAGAGCACAGCCTTTGGCCTGGCTTAGACTCCCAGCTTAGCCGCTGGTATGCTAGCTGTGTGACCTTAGGCAAGTTACTTAATTTCTCTGTGCTTTTATTTTTTATGTATGGAAAGGTGGAGACCTTTGTCAGTAAGAAGCTTGGCACATAGTAGGTTCTCATTTAACCCGCCTTTCCTGCAGCCTCCACCGTCTTCTCTTCTTTGCCTTTGGGGCCAGTTGCTTCCAGACTTCCCGCCCCCCACAGTTGTCTAGGTGGCAGCCTCCCAGCTTCTGCCTAATAACAGCTCTTTATCACATTAGGAGCAGCCCAGAAGCGGTGCTTTCCTCCTCTGGGTAATTAGAGGTAATTAGCATGGCCTCCGGGCGGCCCTCCTGTTTACCTTGGAAACTTGATGGAGGAGAGGCAGCTGCCCGCTCCTTCCCGGAGCAGAGACCCACAGGCATGCAGGTTTCTGGGGACCTCAGCCCAGGGCAAGGCTCTCCCGTCTCAGCTGACATCTAGAGCTGAGCACAGTGCCTGGGCACCAACCGAACCCTTGGTACTGACAACGGCCAGAGCGAGCACGGACCAGGCCCTGCTCGGCACTCTGCTGGGATCTGCTTTGTGATCCCTGACGCCAGCCCTAACCCACCAGGCAGGGGTGAGCTGTAGGCTGCAGCAGGTAACAGCACCTGTGAGTTGTGGGTCTGCCGAACCTGCTTTAGGGCCTGCGCCCCTAACCAGCTGCAGCCTGGAGAGGCGGCTTCCCCTCTGCCAGGGAGCCTGTTCCGTGTATTATCAGCGAGTCCTCCCACGGGCCACATGGTGCAATCTTTTTCTTTTTAACTGTGATACTGGAGATTGAACCCAGAGCCTTCACACTGAGCCCTTTTTGTATTTTTTGAGACAGTCTCACTAAATTGCCCAGGTTGGGCTTGAATTTTTTGTCAAATGCCTCAGCCTCGGCCTCCCAGAGTGCTAGGTTTACAGACGGCCCCACCATGACCGCCTCACTGCTCCCACTTTAAGCCCAGGTTACCCCGTGTCCGCATGATGTGCGGGGTTGTCCAGAGAAACAAGGCTGTCACGAGTGTCCCCACCTTACTCGAGCTCCCGGCCTATCAGCAAGTCACTGGTGTAAGTAGGTGACTCTGAGGGTTTACTGAGGGCCGGCTCAGGTGCCACCGAGGCCATGGAGCCCCAGGAGCTTCCCGGCCACATGGGGCATCGAAAAAGGCTTCTCCACACTAGCACCCTAGGCAGCGAAGTCCAGCATGCATCCGAGCAACCAAGCTGAAATCTTCATCCAGTGGCAGCCACGTCAGAACCTTCCATGGCTCTCTTCCTGCCCACCTCACCCCTGTCACAGCTGTGTCCACTGTCACAACTCAGACAGCAGCTTCTCCCTCCTGAGTCGGTGCAGAATGGCAGCCCAGGCTCTGGGCTTGGCAGAGGGGGCTGGAGCTGTGTGTTCAGGGATAGCTGCATGGTAGAATTCCTATCTGGAGCCAGCAGTACCAAGCAGCGGCCAACACCTCCCTTTCTCCCTGACCTGTTTCCATTCAGCCCTGGCCCTGGCCTTTCACCCACATTGTAAGGGTGTAAGGAGACCGTTTTAGTTACTTTTTCATTGTTGGGACAAAATACCCAACACCCACAAGTTAAAGGAGGAGAGGCTTATTTTAGCTCACAGTTTGCAGAGGTTTCAGCCTGTATTCCGCTGGGCCCAAGGCACAGCACCATGGCTGAGGAGGAACAGTCCATGGCAGGCAGCAGGACTTGTGGACCCACCTGGTAAACTAGTTCAAGCCCAGCCTGGGAAACTTAGCAATTTAGCAAGACCCTGTCTCAAAATTTATTAAAAAAAAAAAAAAAAAAAAGTAAATTTTTTTTTTTTTTTTTTTTGAGACAGGGTCTCACTATAGTGTGTAGGTCAGGCTGGCCTTGAAAAAAAAAAAAAAAAAATTAAAAAGCTGAGATTGTAACTCAGTGTGAAGGCCCTGGGTTCAATCACAGGTACTACCAAAAATTTTTTAAGAAGGAAAGAAACCAGGGTGAGGGTATGTATATTTATGGAGTGTCTGCTACATGCCAGGTGCTGTACCTTGTGATGTGCATGTGTTATTTCTTCCTACCAGCACTTTGAGTTTGGACCTCACGAACTCAAAAAGGGTGCAAGTGTCTTTGCAGCACAAATTCAAGGTCGTGAGCCTCATTTTACAGATGGGGAAGCTGAGATTCAGGAGATCGTGAGAACTAGCCTGGTTCCCAGGAAGAGCCAGAGCCAGGACCAGGACCTGTTTTCTCAGAGTCCAAACGTAGGTTCTTTCTGGTGCCACACAGCTGCTATCTGTGCCTCGTCCTGCACAAGGGCCCTGGCCCCACCATGACCTCCATCCTGAGCCCTGGGACCCAAATAGCCACTTAGATGTGTGCACAACCATGTGTTTTCACAGAGAACTGTTTTAAAATGTTTGTGGGAAAGGAGGTGGACAGGTGAGAGAAAACAGCATAGCTATATAGAGAATCGTCTTTCTGTGTTCTTAAAAAGTCACTTAATTATCCAGTGTGATCTGTCACACCCATGGGAAGGCAGGTGCTACCAGGAAATCTTGGCGTGGCTTGCTGAGAGTCCCAGCGCCAGCTTCCCTGGAGTTTTCCTGCCCCCTTTGACCCACTCCCACAGTAATGGCGTTAATCTGTTTTCTGTCCTGACTGGCTTTTGAGTTCTTGACCCTTGTCTCAGCAAATAACAGAGTCTTGCTAAAACATTTTAAACGGGGATGTTTCTGTGGCGTGAAAGAAGACAGAGCTGCCAGTTTAAGGCTGGTTTGCGAGGGTTCAGCAGGGTTCAAAGGCCAAAATTCTATCTTGCTGCATACTCTGCCACCTATAGTGGGCCGACTCATGGCCCAGGATGGCTGCACAAGTTCTGGCCATCCCATTTGAATTCCAACCAGCAAGAAAGAGAAAATGGGCAGGCAAGGAGAGCGCTTCTCTTAAAAAGAATTCCAAGGAGTGTCACAGAATGTCACTTCCTCTCTGCCTCAGTCCTTTTGTGCTGCTACAAGAGAATACCTGAGATGGGGTAATTTACAATGAACAGAAATTTATTTGGCTTGTGGTTCTGGAGGCCAGGAGGTCCTATGGGTATGGCTGTAGCATCTGCTCTGGGCTTCTTGTCATATCATCCCATGATACAGGGTAAGAGGGCAGGAAGGGGTGAACTCCCTCACTTTTTTTTTCCATTACTGGAGAATTGAACCCAGGCCTTTGCACTGAGCCCTTTTATATTTTTTTGAGATGGGTTCTCACTAAGATGCTAAGTTAGCCAGGCTAGACTCAAACTTGCAGTCCTCTTGCCTTAGCCTCTCAGAGTGCTGAGGCTGGCACATGTGGCTGTGAATTCACTTTTACGACAAACCCACTCCTGTGATACATAGCCCGCTCTCACAATAATGACCTCAGGACTAGGGATTTAGCTCAGCGGCACAGCACCTGCCTGGCAAGCGTGAGGTCATGAGTTCGATTCCCGGCACCAGAACACAAACAAAAACAAAAAAACAATAATGACCTCAGCCCATCCATGAGGACACACCTCCACACCTCCTTGAGTCCCCATCTCTCAGTATGGTGGCACTGGGGGTGAGTTCCCAGTGCAGGACCTTTGAGGGACACATTCCAACCACAATCATCTCCTTGGCCAGAAACTAGGGAAACCCTCTCCATCTTTAATCAATTCTGAAACAGCTGTGCACTCTGGATTTGAGAGACATTGAGAGCTGGAGTCCTAGCATTGGTGGTCGGATGTCTGAAGATGCCAAGGGTGAGGTCCAAAGCTTTGCATCCGTCCTGACCTTTGCTCCCTGTCCCCTTGCAGGTCAGCGGCCACCTGGACTATGCCAAGCAGATGGATGTCATCCTGAAGGCTGTGGGCATCCGTACCAAGCCAGGCTGGGGCGAAAAGGGGCTTTTGCTGGCCCCGGGCAGCCAGTCCCAAGAGGAGCCTTGCCAGGCTGCAGCTGCCTCCTCAGCAGGCCAGATCTCCCCTCAGGATGGGCAAATCCAGGAGTCTGCACCTGGAGGCACCCCCACAGTGGCTGAGTCCCCTGACCCGAGCCACACCCAGACACCAGCAGAGTTGCACCAGTCTGACGGGGCCTCACTTCCTGGTGCTGTAGGCCCAGCAGAGAGCCCCCGTGTCTGCAGCCATGGCTTGGGCCCCAACCCACTAGGCTGCCCCGACTGTGCCCATGAGACCCAGGAGCTCTGCCCAGGGTTGGACTGACCCCAGCAGGGACCTGAACTGTCTTCCAGTTCTCTACGTGCAGCTCTCTCCTACCCACCCAGGCTCTGGTGAAGGTGGAGATGTCTACAAGTGCCTTTTCTGAGCTGAAAGAATGAGGATTGAAGAGGAGTTGAAGGAAGCAGAACTGGGTGGGGGTAAAATGTTGCCTCCCTGGGGAAGCAGAGGTAGACTCCTGCACGGTCAGGTGCTCCCTGCACTTCAGATCCCAGCTGTGAGGTCTGGCTGTCCCTCAGGGGGTCCAGGCAACCTCTGGGGCTAGAGTTAAGCCAGGTGTCTGCCCACTCTTCTATCCATGCTCCAGGGCTGCCCCCCACACATCCCACAGGCCCAGGTGCCAAGGGAGCAGCTTCCTCACTCTGCTCCTGGGAGATCCAATCAGGATCTGTCTTGTACAGCCATGCAGGTTGTGCACTGCACGGTACAGGGGCAGCAGCCACAAAGATGTGAAAGAGCCATGCCCTGAAGTTGTGCATCTCAGCAGGTGTGGATGTAGCTATGCAGGACAGGAAGGATAAGTGTGAGCCAGCATGTGGTGTATTGGGAGCCTGGTAACAATGGATTATACAGGGGAAGGATGTCCTGGCAGGAACAGGAGTGATGACAGTAATAAACAATGCCAGCAGCCACCGTGTATGAAGTACCTACCACATACCCAGTGTTTTTGTGATGACTGCAGAGCCCAAGATCCTAGGCACCTTGTCCACATCCACCATTCCCTTCCTCTTTGTGCCTCCCACTGTCCCTAGATGGCAAGGCCAGAGGTGACCCCCTCCCCTGCACCCAGGCAGAGGACATGTGGCCAGGCTCTGGGGAGGAGGGAGGAGAGCAGGAGGAATTAGCTCCAGAATGCAGGGGCTGGACCGTGTCTCCAGCACGTACGCGTTTGTTCATTCTTCAGCGTGTACACTACCCCGCTGCTTCTCATCCAGACCGCTCCTGTCTCACGTGGTAAGCTGAGCCCCAACTCAGGAAGTGATTTTGCTGAGGTCCCAAAGCAAAATAGGGGGAGAGTCCAGACCGGAAGCCAGGACACATGGGCCCAGTGTCTCTTCCCACTACGCCAGAGGCTTCTCAGGCCCCTGTGGCCCTTCCATAGAATCCAGTCCACACCATGGTCACTTTCTTTATCTTGTGTTTATTGGCAGCCCTGGCCGCATCCAGAGGGTCCCAGCAAGCACCGTGGCCCCCCTGCAGCCAGCAGCCAGGACCGAGTTGAGTCTGATCAGCACCAAGGAGAGCGCCAGGCCTCTGGTAGTTTGGCGGTTGATGGAACCTGGAGGCTTTAAGAAAAACCCCAATAGAGCAGGAAAATTAGGAACCAAGCGCCCACACCTCCTGCCCAAAGAGTCTACCTGCCTGCCTGATGCCCCACCCCACACCCGGGACAGTTCTCCAACTCTCCCCTGTGGACTCAAATGGCCAGCATTCCCGTCTCCCTCCCTGGCCCTGACAAAGGCTGGAAGCGGGCAAAATAAGGGGCTGGGTTTATCCCATTAGCTCTTCCCTTCCAGGTCCAGGGAAGCCCAGGATGCAGCAAAACCCATCCCTGATGTTGAAGGAGAAACTGCCATCTCTCCTCCTGCCCCGGAGAGTCAGCAGAGGCTGGGAGGGTCCCTGAGCAATGGGAGCCCCATCTGGCACCCAGAGAAAGAGTTGGGTGGTGGAAATCTGGACCTGGGAGGGTGGGCTCAGTGGTAGAGCACTGGACTAGTGTGCCCGAAACCCTGGGTTCCAGGTGAACTCAAGGCCAGCCTGAACTGCAGAGCGAGACCCTGTCTCAAAAAAAAAAAAAAGACAAAACCCTGGGTTCCATGTCCGGCATTGTAAGAGAAGAACAACAGTGGGAACGAATTGCCCTTCCTGGCCCACAGAGGTTATAACAATAGGCCACGCCATGTGCATTGTCCTAAGTCAACGCTACACAATGGCATTGTTACCCGCACTTTACCCCGAGACACGCTGAACTCAGAGAAATTAAGGAACCTGCGCCAGCCCCAGGGAGAGGAGGATGAGCAGAGGTCCAAAGCTGTGCTTTGCTGTGCTGCCATTCCCATCCTGGGGCTGGCAGGTCTGAAAAGCGTCCAGCAAGTCCTCCTTGGGGTTAGAGGGCCTCCCGGCCAGCACATCTCGAGCTGTATCACCGGGGACCTTGTTAACATACAATCCTGACTTGGCAGGTGTGAGGTGGGTGAGATGTGCACTTTGCACAAATGCCCAGGAGGTGAGGGGGTTGCTGATGGTCTGAGAACTGTACTTTCAGTAGCTAAGACTGGGCCACACATGAACCCATATCCATAGAAAAAGTGTTCCCTACCACTAGCCTGAGAGAAGGAGCAAAGGTCAGGATTGCTTTTAATCTAATCTGGACCAAGAGGTCCTGCGTCCCAGCTCCCACTCTACCCAGCATCCTGTACAGAAACTGCAACTTATCCTCCATGGCAGAGCATCTGCAGTGGGCTGCGCTCAAGCCGGCTGTCCTCCCTCCAGGTCAGGGGCCTGGAGCAGTGTGGGGAGCTGGCTCAGGGCATCCTCTGAAGCTCAGAAGGGGCTCAAGACACCTGCAGCTTCCTGGCCTTAGCCAAGACTTGACTCAGGCCCTCGGGGACTTGACCCCATCCAGACCAGCTCTCACTAGCCAGCTCCAAACCTGGTCAGTTCGTGGGGGTACTGAGTGGGTGCAGCCGCAGCTCGGGCTCTGCTGGATGGATGTCGAAGAAGTTGACCACAGCAGCGGGCCTGGTGGGTTGCGGGGGGTCCCGGGCGGCCTCTCCGGGAAGCAGCAGCTGGGCCGTGAGCTGCAGGCCAGAGGAGCCGCCCGAGTCTGAGTCTGAGGAGTCCGGAGGCAGCGGCAGTGGCATCACGTGCTGCAGGCTCAGTCCAGGCCGGGCACCGCTGTGAGAGGTCCGCATGGAGGGGGAGGCCAGGCTGACCCGGCGCTCCTGGGGGCAGTGGGGGCAGGGCAGGAACCTGCCCAGGGCCCGCTTGAAGTCCCGCATGAAGAGCGGGTAGATGATGGGGTTCATGGTGCTGTTACAGTACCCCAGCCATGTGAGGACGTCGAAGAGGCCCGGGGAGATGCAGTCACACACAGCCTGGGGGGACAGGATGTGTCAGGCCTGACCCCAGGCAGGGACCCTGACCACCCACCCAGAGTGGATGGAACCCATACACAAGCATGGGCACCGTGGGAGGTGGCCCACCCTCTCCCTCCCTGAACCTGGACTGGGGTGAGGCTTGGGGTCTCCCCGCCCAAGTCCTGGACTCATCTGTGGCTTCACCTGGACTATGTTGGCCACAAAGAAGGGCAGCCAGGTCACAAAGAACATGCCCAGAAGGATGCCCAGTGTCAGGCTGGCCTTCAAGGCCTTCCTGCTGTGCTTGGTGGCCAGACGCCTACTGTCCGCAGACTCCACCCCTGGCTGTGGGACCTTGGGCACCTGTAGAAAGGAAGGTCACATGCGTCAGCTGAGAAAGAGCCCTAGTCTGACCCTGATCCTAGCCACAGACTTAACTTCAACTGCTCTTCTAGACTGAGCTCTAGTCCCAGCGATGAACTGAGCCCTGATCCTGGCCCAGAACTTCACATAGAGCTCTAGGCAGAGCAGTGAGACAGAGCCACACTCCCCCAATCACAAATCAGACAGTTCAGAAGAAAAACCACGCCTTCGGAGTTAACCCTCAGCACAGACAGCGAGCCCCAGAACCTCCCAAAGCCTGTAGCACTCTGAACATTGCTACTAACAGTACTTGAAAAAGAGAAACTTCTGCTGCAGAGCTCACTGATTCTCTATATGATTTTCTTCATATTTTGGAATAACTGTTTTTGCCTGTGTGATTGCCTTCATGCTCCAGAAGTATCTGGGTTTGCTTTTGGTTTTGAGAATGTGTACACAAAGCCAATGGTTGAAATTAAATCTCTTACCAATTGCTAGGGATTCTAGGGATCTCGGCATTTTGCAACTCAATTACAATATGGACGGGCAGGTGTTTCCACTCGCCACAGTGAACTGAAAGCCGGGGAGAAGGGAGAAAGAAGCTGCCGCGAGGAGGACACGGGCACGGGAGGTCGGAGTTTGATTTGGCCTCCTGGCAAGCAGCAGATTCAACAGAGACTTTGAACTGATGATGCTGTAGCCCAGAAGGGGTTTTTTATCCACCTTTTTCTTTAAACTTCATAAGCCTTTTGAAGACCTAATGAAATCTACAAAAATCGCTCCCCGGAAAAACTAAAAGCTCATGAAATTTCCACAAAGACACAACCACTTTAAAAGTGCCACCCTTCCATGGAGTTCAGAGATCACCCTGAGGGCTCCAGTTGCTAGCATGGAGCCTTTAGAGGCCTCTGGAAGCTGGGACATGAGGCCCACCTCCCTTCCAGACAGAACCCTGACACCCTCCATAGGTCAGCCCCTGGGTTTCTCACCTTTATGTCATCATCAGTTTGGTTTTTTGGGGCATGGGGTATAGCTCAGCGGCACAAGCACCTGCCTGGCAAGCGCAAGGTCCTGAGTTCGAGATCCGGTACCAAAAAAAAAAGACTTTTTTTTTTCTACACCAAAGCAAGACCACCTACGTTTACAATTTGATTAAGTGTTGGTGTGTAAACTCCATCAAGAACCATGCAAGGGGTGCATGTGCTGCCTGGGAACACACTTGGGCCTTGAAACCAGGGATTTGCCCAGAACTTCCTAAACTGCATGAGAGCCCAACTCCTTCTGCCAGCAGCTCTGGCCTCTTCAGAGCAACACAGGACGTCAGGACCAAGGCTTTGACTCACCATGGCCTAGCTAGGGCTCTAGGGTTAGAGGACGTCCTCCTCCCCACCCCCACCAGACACACATCTGCTCCCAGAGGATGTCGGGAAGTGGAAAGGTTAGGAGGAGGCAGGAAGGGAACCAGATTCCCAGGCAACCCTCTGCAGATGGAAGCGGGGCAGAGTAGGCAAAGCCAAGATGTATTGATGCCAGGGAGCATCAAAGCCAGCACCCCCAGCCCTCTCTCAGCCCTTGCTCTCAGCTCTGCCGCTGCCGGCCCCGCCGCTGCCTCCGCCGTCTCAGCGCTGGTGCCCTTGTCCGCGGTGCTGAAACCCCAGCAGCAGGCTCTCCGCCCAAGGGACCAGGGCTTCTTGTTCTGGAATGGGGGTGCGGGAACGGGTGCCCCTCTATGTGTTTACCCAGATGAAATATAGTTCTACAAACATCAAGTGCAAAATCTAAGAAGAGTAGCCTAAGAGAGGCTCTAGATTTCTCGCTCTCTCTTGGTGGGGCAGCATTGTCCTTCTGCAAGAGCTGAACTTTGAAGACGGGCGATCTGGCTTCAAACCATGCCTCTACTCTTCCCTCCCTCTGTGATCTTGACAGACAGCGCCTATGTTCTTGTGTATAAAGAGAGAGAGATGAAGGCGTAGCTCACAGAGTCACTGTGAAGCGGTGGAAGGTGAAAGCACACACAGAATCTGACAGAGAGCAAATACACACAGCCATGATGCGGTGCAGGGATGTGGGAACGGAGCTGGGGTGGTCCTGAGCACCCTCGGGCGGCCTGTCCTTCCTTCTGCAGCAGCTCAGGCCTCCCCAGAACAGATCAAGATGTCAGGATCAGTGCTCTGACACGCTATGTAGTGGCTCAGTCCCTAGGGTTCGAACAGGGGCTCCCAAACCCGCCCCCCCCAGCCATGAACCAGAACCAGTCAGTGTCCTGTTAGGAATGGGCCACGCAGCGTAAGGTAAGTTGTGGGCAGGCAAAGCTCATCTGTATTGATATCCACTCCTGATCACTCAAATCACTACCTGAGCTCCACTTCCTGCCAGATCGACAGAAGCAACAATAAAAATAAAGCACACACTGTAGTAGAAATAAAGTACACAGTAAATGTGCATGCCTGTAACCCCAGCACTCAGGAGGCTGAGGCAGGAGGATCACTGTGAGTTGAAGGCCAGCCTGGACTATATAGTGAGAACTTGTCTCAAAAATAAATAATGTAATGCATGCAAATCATCCCCAAATGACCACCCAGATCAGTGGGAAAGTTCTCCCACAAAACTGGCCCCTAGGGCCAAAAAGACTGAGAGCTACTGGGTTAAAGATGCATCCCCCAAAACAAAACAAAAAAAAGATGCATCCCTTGCCCCACCTCCCACAAATGTCTGCTCCCAAGTCAGCAAGGAGAAAAGAGCACCCGCTTTCTCCCTCCTAATTTTCTCTTCTCTCACACGGAGCAGACTCGGTGTGGTACCTGCAGCCCTTGTGGCCAGCCAGCAGGAAGAGACTCCTGATTCCCCATGGGAACCCCAGTGGCCTGCTGCGCCTTCAGTGGGAGGAGACAGTCAGGTTTCCAGGAACCCTGCTGAGCCCTGGACCCAGACAGGAGCGAGGCCACGAGGCAGCCCCAGTGTTAGGCTCTGGGGAGCCCAGGCTGTGCGATCCAAGGCAGTCATCGGGGAAGGATGCGATTGAGCTGAGGGGCTCTGCTCTCCCAGAGAACAACCCTGGGGTTTCCTCCCCTCTTCTCCAGAAAGACTTGGCTGGAGAACACAGGCAAGGAAGAGGGCTCAAAAGCAAGGCTCAAAGAGAGCAGAAAAGCTTCCCAAAGTCACCCTGAGCCAAGGCAAGCCCTCACATCAAAGTCCAAGTGACCCCAAACCAGCACTGTCATCTCTATTTATTGACAGTCCCCAAGTCATTCAATCATTTTGAGAGGCAAGGAGTATGTTCCCCATTTTGCAGATGAGGCAACTGAGGCCCAGAAAGGCAGGAGTCACATAGCAGGAGAGAGCTGCATCAAGGATCTGGGCTTCTCTGACCCCCGGAAGCTGCACTCCTCCCACTTCACCACGTGGCTTCCACATTCCACACTGGCACCCCCAGTGGTAACTCCACCGCTGTCACCAAGAGGCCCTCAAGAGACAGAAGCCAGTGGCAGCCACCAGCCCGCAGCCTGTGGTCCAGCTGAAGCCAACACCCCCCTTCCGACTTCTGTCTCTCCTCACCACCTCATAGCACCTCGTGGCCACGTTCTGATGTCTATGTGTTCACAGCCGGTGGCAATGTCAAGAGGCCAGCTGCCTCAAGGACAGCGTGAATGTGCCCTCCAAGCCAGCAATTCCACATACAGACCCTGTGCTCAGAAAACCCTGTACACGTGGCACACCCAACGCTGTGTGCCTCGGCACTGGGTGATGGGAACAAACTGGAAACAGCCTAAATGTCCACCGAAAGACCACGGCACCCTCCCACTGCGGAATAGTTTGAGGGTGTCTTTAAAGAATGCATTGTTTGCCGGGTGTGGTGGCGCATGCCTATAATCCCAGCACTCGGGAGGCTGAGGCAGGAGGATCATTGCGAGGCCAGCCTGGGCTACAAAGTGAGCTCAAGGCCAGCCTGAGCTGCATACTGAGACCCTGTCTCAGAAAAAAACCAAAAAAAGCAAGAATGCATTGTTGGACTGGATGTGGAGGTGTATGCCTGTAATCCTAGCACTCTGGGAGGCTGAGGCAGAAGGACTGCAAATTCGAGCTCATCCTGGGCAAATTAGCAAGACAGTGTCTCAAAATAAAGAATAAAAGGGGGGCTGAGGAGGTAGCTCAGTACAAAGACCTTGGATTCAAGTCCCAGTGCCAAACACACACACACACACACACACACACACACACACACACACACAATGCATTGATCAGATAGATTTCCAAGGCATATTATTAAGTGATGCTGGCGAGTAACAAAGCAATATTCAATATGATTCTATTTGTTTAAAAATTACACAAAATGCTATTTCTTTAGGTATTGATGCAAACATACAGAAGGACGGGGCAGGAGCATGCTATAAATTGATAGGAGTGCCTCCGGTAATGGAAGGAATTAATAGAATCTTTTACTTTATTTTTGAATTTTTTTTTTTTGAGACAGTCCCACTGTGTAGTCCAGGCTGGCCTTAAACTCACCATGTAGCCCAGGTTGGCCTCAAATTCACAGCAACCCTCCTGCCTCAGCCTCCCAAGTGCTGGAACTACAGATGTGCACCACCACGCCCAACTTGGATGTGTATTTTAAAGTGTGCTTACTGAGCTGTGGATGTAGCTCAGTGGGAAGGCATTTGCCTGGCATGGGCAAGGTCCCAAGTTCAATCCCTAATACAGCAAAAAATAAAAGAGTATTTATGTGTTCCCTTGTGTCATCTAAAACATTCACAATCATCTCCTAACAGTGTGAGGGTTACAACACAGACCGGAGCCGCACTGCCTGGCTTCAAAACTTGGCTCCTTCAATAACTAGCTGCGTGGCACCAGGGTGCAGCTCAGCAGCATAGCGCCTGCCTGGCAAGAGTGAGGTCATGAGTTTGATTTCCAGTACCAAACCAAACAAAACAAAACAAAAAAAACTAGCTGCGGACTTTACCCCTGGTGGACAGGGTGGGGAAATGACACATTCAGGGTGATCC